GCTGTACGTCTATTTCAGGGATTTTTGTTTTCTGTAAGTCTGTATTTTGTTCTGAGGATTCTTCAGGTAAATTAGGAGTGTTAGAAATAGATTGCGATTCTAAAATTTGTTTGACGCGTAATTTATGAGATTTTGGCGAGCTATCCGAATATGAGTTTTGGGCTTGAGAAGCGGAAGCTTCATTATTCTGTAATAACTTTTTTTCCCGATTCCTTTCTCTTATTTCGTTACGAATCTGTTCATTACGTTTTTCATTCAGAAAATTATCAATCCTTTTATCTTCCGATGATTTAGACTTTACACATATAGGTAATATAGTCAAAGATGAATTGGAGACTCGAGACTGATATCCATCAGAATTTAAAACATTATTGGATACATAAGATGGCGGAGCATCATTATTTTGCAAAATTGCCTGTTCAGAGGTGTCATCAGTGATATCAGATACCGGGGTATCACCACATTGTAGGACTATCTGTTTGACAGTATCATTAGATTTTAGTGGAGAGTGCGAAACATCTTCCGTAGGCTCGAAGAGCCATTGCTCTGCAATAGAAACACATTTTTCTTCTTTTCCTTGTTCTAATTTAGCAAGCCTAGTCTCAAGCTCTATATTTTTTTGCTCTAATTCCTCGACTCTAACATTGCGCTTTTCATTCTCCTCGATAATCTGCTTCAGCTTCACATTCTCCTTTCTAAGCTCGGCAATCTCAGCTATAAGTTTGGAATTCTGTTCTTCCAATGTATCGACTTTGGATTGCGTGTTTGCCATTTTTTATACAAAATGCAGATATGTTCAAAAGTTTGAATAAATAGAAATAATGAGTGCGTGACCAAAAGTTAAAAAAGTCACGCCGTTTGCTGTTGCCAAGAAAAAATAATAATTACATGGGAGTGATGTCATGTGTTTTAAATCCGCGAATCAGAAATCAGCATATTTAACCAGTGATCATATGATATATTACATTTTAAAACTGATATAACTCCTGCGATTATATCCCATCGGGTAGTGGATCTCCAGCCTTTAAACCACGTCGGGCACGTATAGATGCCCATAATATTTTTTAAGAAATCGATTAATAGAATTGGATAACGGGTAGAGCAATTTATCGACGCACTTTTGATGATCGGAATTGAGGGCTACTTGCAGTATTAGAACTAGTATAGGGAAATGGATTGTTCAAGGTAAACGCACCAAAATGCTCACTAAAATTTTTCCAGAAACTTTCGCTTCTATGTGATGGGCGCTCTAATGTATGAAAATAGTAATAATTTACCACGTCCGTTGCTTTTTCCACGACATCAAAATTATCTACAAATCCTAGGTGAAGCAAGGTTTGGCCATTAACATCGACGACATATCCCGGACCGTCCTAAAGCATAATTAGATTTTTTATCCATGTAACAGCGATACGTATTCGCAATTTTATTTTTTGTATCTGCCTTATTACTGGCAAGTTTTCCGTTTCGTAATAATAAAGCAATGACACGTTAGTCGTGTCTTATCTCCTGATCGTTCATGTAACTTCTCACATAAATATAAAGCCACCGATCACCCAAAAACAGATGCGATAAAAATTTTTCATTCTTCACTTGCATCGCAATACGATAGATTCCGCATACTAAGTCGCCTTTTAGATTCCGTAGTTCTTTGATTATAAATCTAGGCACAGTAATAGATTTTAAGAGATGTCCTCAGAATCATTCTCACCCTCAAGAGTTTCCTCTGACGAAGAGCCCGTTTACGAGATGGCAAATGTAGTTAAAAAATATGGAACCGAGGAGCTAATCGAATATTTGCGAAGTAAGGATTTAAAACTCACAGAGTCACATTTTGAAATATTGCGTAAAGAGAAAATTACCGGTCCAGCCTTCCTTGAACAAACCAAAGAGGATTTTCGCAGTATTGGCTTGACATTAGGCCCAGCAACAGTACTCGCAAATGTCATCACGGATCTCAAAACATGTAAGTGTACTCGAGATTTTGTTTGCATCTCAATTATATAAGCCGTTACTAAACTCTTCTCCATATAGCAAACACTCCAAAATCAAACACTGGACTTGTATATGTTTTTGTGGACAACTCTAACTTGTTTATTGAAGGAAAATATACTGTTGGCCGTATTGAACAAGCAGGCAACTTTGATTACCAAAGAAATTCCTACCAACTCAACCAGCTCTATATCGATCATGGACGTCTTCTATCAACAGTACTGAAAGGACGAAGAATAGGTAGTAATTCGGTGATTGTTGGCTCCCGTCCACCTCCAAACGATTCACTATGGGATCGGATTCGAAATCAAGGTTATGGTGTGATCGTTTATGATCGTATTGCAAATAAAGAAAAGAAAGCCGATATGGAACTTGGACTTTGTATAGCGGATGCCGTTTATTCGAAGGATCCTGGTTTAGTTCTTATAGTTGCCGGTGATGGTGATTATTCTCCTGCGATAAATCGGGCCCTACATCATAGTTGGAAGGTTGAAGTGTGGTTTTGGTCATCAGGTATGAAGTATTTTTTATTTGTTATGTTAGTACTCTAAGTAAATGTCTATTTATATAGGGATATCCGGTGACCTCATGAGAAATTCCATCTTTTTCTTGGATAATTTTTACCGGCATTTTACATATGCGTACGGACAAGATCCTGCAGGAAGAAATTATATCCTTGAAATAACTGATGGTGAAACGCTTGCAAAATGGAATGACGATGAAGTAATGGAATGTTTTGATTCATTAGAATTCTTTGGATGGTGGTTCAGGAAAGAAGGACCGACTATATACTTGTACTTCGATAACAAAACAAATTCGAGAAAGGCAAAGAGTTGGGTGGAATCAAATCATCCAGATGTAAAGGTTTGGGAAATAGAGAAAAGAAAAAGTTGGTCAGAATAATATTTATAGGTTTAATCCAAATTAAAATTCTACCCTTAATGTTAAAATTTTTTTAAATGCTCTTCGAAAGAAAACAGAAAAAGCCAGAAAAGTTTATGATCTTTTTTTTTCGTATTGGTGGAGATAAAGTTCAAAGGATGACATACATCCAACGAATAAAAATGTTTACCGCACCATCCATTTCAAATTTAAGTTTAGAAAATATCAAATATGTAGCATTACAGGTTAGGAAAAATACTAGGCAAACTTAGGCCTTTAAGCCGGTAAAATGTTGTGTCACGTGATGGTGATGTAACTCGACCGTGACTGGTCTCGAAGTTTGGCAGTTTTTTGATAATTAAATAAATCAAATAATCGGGAATTTAGCTGCCAAGTCACACAGCTTGCCAGGTTGTACAGCCCATAATATTTCCATTTATAAAGGAGAGGCCAGCTGAGCATCCAATGAAAAAATAGTATTTGAACTCGTACAACGTGGCAGGTTGTGCGACCTGGCAGGTAAATTCCTGATTATAATAATCAATAAAGTCTACCCATATTTGGGCTTTGTATTTTTATTGCCTAGTGTGTAACATAGAACATACATATTTATCGCCGAAAAATTAAACCATATGCTTGTAGAGGTGAAACCTCATTGTCCGCAATAATACACCCGAAATAAATCAAACATCCCGAAATAGATTATGCAACGATTATCCCAAATAACGATCTACACACCCGAAATAGATTTCAAGTGTCAAAAATAGATCCACAATACACGAGCGATTATACATAAATATCGTCACAAATAGATTCCCCGCCTTCTCGTGATTCTCACTCGAAGCCAGATATAAAGAGCGGATAGCAGAAATATATAATTTTTTTTCGAATATATGAGAAAAAAAGGGGGGCGAATCTTTAGATTCATATGCATCTCTCCCATTCTCATCGTATACATCACTCGCAATTATACACAACTCATCTAATAACCCATGGGCGCTCTCCGAGCATCTGCACTAAAATTGAATCGTATATTCATATACTATAAAGAACCAAATCAAATAGGTCTAAATCCTTAAATTCGATATAAATCACGTAATCATTAAATATGTCGAGAGCAGAACACGATATAAATGAAAGGATTGCAAAAACTGGTGGACATAATGTTCTTAATAGAATTATCGATGCTGAGAGGCCTTATGATTCTATTAGTATGATCTTTGATGGTGAAACACCGATTCAGTGGGCATGTCGTGTTAGGATGTCTCTTCGAGAGTTATTGGGTCCAGGAGGCCCACGTAGTACCTATCACCAGTATTGCCTTCATGCCTCATACACCCAAGGTGCGAATTTTGATAAATATAATTATAGTAGAGGTAGACCATATGAAGATGGTACCGCAATATGTTTTCGATGTATGAAACTTATGCATGTTAATGTTAATTTAGGTCCAAAAGCAGATCCATTCGATTTAATGAAAGAACATTATAATTATGAATGCTCGAAACCACAAACCGATTTTGGTCGTGCAAGGCTTATACAAAGAGCTTGGAAAAATTACAAGAATAGACCTGAATCATTAGCCACTCGAGCTTGGAATTCGTTAAGAAATGATAATACTTCTGATGAGAAATTTTTAGGTATGACCCCTTACAAGTGAAAAATCCTGTATCTTTAAATCAATTAAAATTACGTTATACTGAAGAATTTGCTGAATATAGAAAAAAATATAACAGATTACCATTTCATATTGAATATGAGATTAAAACATTTAAAGAATATTATATTCCAGTTAATATTAATTGGATAGATTCTAAAAAGAGTCAATTACGGATTAGATTCCGAAAGCGCCTTTTAGAAATAGGATCTCATTAAATGTAGATGCTACCGCATTAGAGTTATTAGTAGGTATTGGATCAGATATACGAATGGATTTAGACTGAGATTTAGAACTTCTCTTTTTTATTTCTGTATTAAGAGGAGTAGTAGATTCTGGATATAAATTCTCTCTTCTGATTCGATTAAAATTTTCAGATGGAGTCTGTAAAACAGGTCTGGTGAGGCTAGTGTAGATATCTCGGTGGAAATGACACTTAGTATTATTTGTTGTTGGCGCTCTCGATCTTCCCATATATCATCTACTCGATGTTCATTAATATGAAATTCTCTCATAATTCTATACTTAGATACCTTACCTTTGAGCGATTTAAGTTAGATATGTAGATTTTCGGCGATAATATGATTTTAGAAATGGTGTATTCATGGTTTGATTTTTATCCAATATTTAAATGATATTTAATGTTTTAGAATAATAAAAAATGATATCTATTATTATAGTACAATAAAAAATAACATTTATCATTATAGATAAATATGAAATGTTAGTGTAAACAAGCCTCCAGCTAATAAAACTAATACAAAGTACTAGAAACCAAAATAAAATCAATGTATAACCTTATTCAATAATATCTAATATATTTTTTTAATATTCTAGGTTATCTAACATTAAATATCGTTATATAATAATAGAAATTATTCACAAAATTAGTTTTGTTAACATCTATATATTATCTATTATTTAGCGTAGCAAATGCAAGGTGTTAATATGACAAATGTATATACATTACAAAATATTAAAGGCCATCGACTTGGTAGTATACGCGAAGAAGAGCTAGAAAAAAAAATACACGATGCTATCAAATCCAAAGCTGAAATTAATAAGCTTAGTGAAAAATTACAGGATAAATACATAAAGCAAATGAAAGCGTTTGATCGGGAAAAAAAGGGGTGGAATCGGGATTCGTTACAAAATAATACCGAGATTCAAAAGTTACGCACCCACGCTTTGCAGGTTATTAATGAGTATAAGCAACTACAAAATAAAAATACCAACCTTATTTCTCATAACGCACAAAAGGATATTTTTATTGCTAAATCCAAGGCTGAGAATATTACAAAATCCAAGAAAATTCGATCACTTGAGTCTATGATTAAAATATTGGAAGGTAAGTTATCTTCAGCCCAGAAAGATGTGGTTTCGATTCAAAATAACTCGTCGAAAAAAGAGTCTGAGATTTTATCTCTCAAATCCAAAATAGCAGAAGTGGAACGTGAGTTAGCTTCAAAAGTCAGTGAACTTGAGTGCCTGAAATCGGAGGCTATATCAAACCCTGTACTTGGTGGAAACGACGAAAAAAATACGCAGAGTGGGGAACAAAGTTCCATAACCAAGTCTGACAATATATCTGCAGTTATTGAGGAATCAGAGATTCGAGGCTATGCCTCACCTAGTAAAGATCTGAGTCAATATTTTGTACGTAGAAAAAGTATGGGGCACAGAGTGCACTGCTCTGCAGATCAAGCTGGAAAAATTGATAGTAATATACCTACATATAATAGTGATGAGATTACCAAACTATCAAAAAATGGTACTGAAATTAGTCCTAATATAAACGAGGAAACTAGCATTAGTGGGATTAGTGAGAATATTATATCCCGATCTCAGGAAATACCGAATATAACTCCTTACCTTGCACAGCCGGAAAATAATAGCGGAGCTAGTGCCAAAGCACATATGTCCTCATTCATTGAATCGAATTCTCAAATTCCGATAGGAGGAATAGGAGCGATCCCTGCTGTGGCAAGTACTTTGATGTCACCTCTATCATATATATTACTTGCTCTGTTAATTATTGCCGTTATATGGTTCGTGAGATGCACGTGGAATATAGGTAGGCTCTTTGAGCCAGGATTCGAAGAAAAGACAGAGTCTCGAATTTTCAATTCCTCACCTAGGCATGCAAGTGCCATTGTTCCACAGGTCCGAAAGGGCAACCCTAAAGGGTCATATGGCCTGCTCCGTAATAAAAAAAGTGATCAGCTATGGGATATGTGGATCCGATAACAGGCTGTCTATTTGAACTTTGATATTATTTATATGCGAAAAAATATTGGATAAGCTAATATAATCTTACCTTTTTGTAACTTCATCACTCGATTCCAGATATTTTAGTTAATATAACCTGGAGTATCACTTTTTTTCGAACTTGAGAGAAAAAAAGAAAAAAGAGCGCGAGAGTATGAGCGAGGCCGATTTCTTAGAATTCAAGCGAAACTTTGAGGCTAAAATAAAGGTTCCTACTACTTCATACAAAAAGAGCTGAAAAGTAAATCTTTGGCTCTTATCGAATATATATAAACTAGCTAAATAGTAATTTCTGGAGCAGAGAGATTGTTATATTTGGCTAGCTATACATTTTAGGTAAGGGGGTTTTTGTCGCCTCTTACAATAAGCATAAGAAAAAAATTCAAATAACAAATTAATGCTTCGATAACTACATCATATAAAGGGGTTTTTGTGTCGCATAATTTTGAGCAAGAGTTTGTTTGTTGAAATTTCAGGTAAGTTTTAGATACTTTGCATCTATATATCTGTATATACAGTACGTATTCGATAACCATTTTTGTGTCACATAATTTTTATCAGACTCAAACTTTATATATCATCAAACGGATATCGGAAAAAGTGATACGCAAAAGTAGGCTCGAAGAGCCATTGCTTCGCAATAGAGCTTTTATGTATCATTAGGTAGATATCAGCGGAGCCGGCATAAAGTGCTAAAAAGGTGATTTGCAAAGGTTACAAAAATTGAGCTTTACGTATCATTAGGTAGATATAGTGGAGCTGGCATGAAGTGCCAAAAAAGTAATATGTAAAGGTAATATACAAAGATTACAAAAAAATTGAGCTTTAACGTATCATTGGGTAGATATCAAAAAGTGATACGTAAAAGTTATCAAAATATAATGCACATGTGATATATAGTAATGCGATCCAATTTTTGACAATTTTGGTGATACGTAAAGGTAGAATATTATAAGGAAAGAGGTAAGAAAAATTGTGCTTTTACGTATCACTAAAAAAAGGGGTCAGATAACAGAATTCAGATATCAAAAAAAAGTGATACGCAAAAGCAGAATATTATAAGGAAAGAGATAAGATAAATTTTTACTTTTACGTATCACCAAATAACTGTTAACAATTCGGCACTATGTGCCTCATCATCGGATGCTTTGGTGCATTACTAGATATGATAACAATTCGGCACTACGTGCCTCACACTCGGGTGATATTCGAATAAATTATGTAAAGCTAACGACTGCTAATAGTTTGGCACTACGTGCCAGGTTCGGGCATAGCCCTCACATCGGGCCCGCAAAATGGCGACACGGGACTGAATGCATCGTCGGTATATTTTTTTTACTAAGGTGGCTCGACAACGGAAATCAGATACGGTTGCCAAACTCGCATACAATAGTTGGCATGTGACCTGACGACAAAATTAGCCACCTTGGTGTGTGTCATAAAAAGCAAAATACACGTCACTCGAGTGTGGTCTAAAATGCAAAAGGCACATCATACTGGCGTATATCTCAGTGGTTCTCAAGTGACATGTGTCATGACGACAGAAATCCGACACCGTCGTCACCGAGTGGGAATGACCTAGACTAAGTGGGAATAACATAATTATGTTATTCCCACTGTTTGAATGACATCTGAATGGGAAGGGGTGGGGTTATGTCCAAATGCCCTTGTGGTAAAGGCATTCCAGAGAGTGGAGATTGTTGCTGATTGTATGGAATGGAGAAGACGGAGCTGTTGTTCAGAGAAGTCAGGGTGTGGGATGTATGGAGGGGGTTGTAGTTTGGCTCCATATGCAAAGATCATGTGGGCAGTGTCCCACAATGACTGAGCTATGTGGCATTGGTGGAGGAGGTGTATTGTGCTGTGTTCTTCCATTACCATGGGCAGTTGGTTTTGTCTGGTGCTATGGTTGCTACAGGGAGTCTTTCCCATGTGGCCATCCATAGAATGTCACTGGCAGGGCAGTGGCAGTGTTTGTGAAAGATTTCATCCCAATTGAGTTGGCCAACACTAGGGATGGTAAGAGTGTTGGTTTCTGTAGTAGTAGGGTTTGGTGGAAGTAGGATGTTACACAGTGGAGGGAGTGTTGGGAAGGCAGCTATTTACTATTGTGCCTGGTTGTTTATTTTTGATCCTCCTGCATGCTGCCAGGCAGCTTCGCAGGGGTTCAAAAGGTTTGTGGATGCTACATTTTTGTGCAATTGAGTGGATTATGTCTCTGTGGGTGGTTTCTGTTGAGTATTAGTATGAGAGAATGTGATTGAAGACATGGATCCAGAAGGATGGGTGTGGGTTAAAGGCCATGGAGATTGTTTTGGCCAGTCAGATTTTCATTTCTGGGAAGTCATAGCCAAATCTTTGTCTTACACTTCTTGCTTTACTTATTATTACAACTTAGTAGAATTTTATCATATGTACATTTAGAAGCTTGAAAACAAAGCACAAACAACAACAACAATAAAATCACTTGCAGAGACTGTAGCACAGCATGTATTCATATGCTTGTTCATTTTGTCTGGTTTTGTTGCAGCATGCCCCATTTAATAGATGCACAGATCATTGAGATAAAAATATATTGTCAAAACTTTTCAGACACCCTATGTAATATATCAATTCATGATTCAATGAATCAAAGAGAGACCAATATTTGCGAGATTTTATCTGTAAAAACATTAGTATTAGGTGGGCGTGGATAGATACAATGAGGATACTGATTTTCTTTTGTAGATGTTAATACTCAAATTTTTATAAATGGTTGTGACTTAAAAAGTTGAAAAATCAAAAGTCCCTAACATACTTAATCATAACTATCATCAAAGTCCACTGTACTTAATATTGTCAAACCCTTACCCATAAAAAGTCTTCTCAAGCAAATTTTTTCCCAACACTCCAAGTTTATTGTTAGACTCTTCTCCATTGTTAATCCTCTCTCTTAGATCTTTATTAGTATTCTCGCATCTTAAAAGACGCGTATTCTCTTTCTATTAATTTTGTAAGTTAACCCGTAATACTCTCTGGTTGCTTTTCGTTTACGCTTTCCAATGTTATTCTATTAGTTCTGCTGGTTCTGTTATTTCTTCCAGATTTTAATACATTTACACCTTGATAAACACTAACGTCTCGTCGTCATTTTTTTCCCCACGTAACTTTCTACGCCCTCTCCATTTTTTAATTTTTCTATACATTCCTTTGCTCATACTGGAACCGCCAAGGAGAACTATGAGTTCTCTTTTTAATGTAGAATGAGATGCTTTCCGATGGAAGATACGTTAAAATTACGAGTTACTCGCAGGTGTGATTTCGTACGAGTAGAGAATGATTTGGATTTTTGCGAACGGGTACTTGAATGCGTTTGCAAACAAGTTGGTATGACCACGTCTTTGAGAAAGAAGATAAGAAAGAGAAAAAGAAAATAGAAAGAATAATTATCGTAGTTACACTACATTAGTTATCTAAAGTCTATAAACATTGATGTTCGTAGAAAAGGCGTGTCTCGGAATAAGGAAGAATTGTGTTCTTTTTTTTATCGTTCTATGCAATACTTAATTGTTTTTTTGACACACGCGACAACAAGGACATTTATCGAGTTATCCATATTCGGTTGCAGGCACTGTTCTCCTTCAGACTTGTAACTGTTAAATATTTGACTTTTCCGACAATAATAAGTTATCCGTTCAGAAACAGCGCAATTACTGTATAAACTCTTAAAAAAGACTTAGTCTTTGATTTGTTGATAGAAGATTGTTTGATCTCATTGTTTTGCAATAGCTCTTTAACTAATAGTAAAATCTAAAAAATAGTTAAAGTTAAATTCTAAAATTAGCAATCGCGTGCTCTCCCACGATTGTTGCTCAACAATACTGGTTTGAACCGCATTTATACAATTTTTTTTTGCAAAGAAAGAAAATAGGCAGAATTTTAACAGCTGAAAGTGCGCTAATTAAGGAATTAAGAGACTAAAGATAGCTTTAAGATGTCTTCTACTCTTGCAGTTGACAAAGAGTTATTCAATTCCGCTCTGACAAGTAGTCCCTAGAAACATCTTGACGTCATTCGACTATTTTTGCAACATTTAAAATCTATCTACCATATTCTCTAATATTTAGTTTAAGAGCAATATTTAAAAGTAGACACTTTGTAAAAATATATGACATGCGTTTAAGAGAGAAAGACGCGGATAACTTAATATAATGGCCCCCACAGAATATGAAAATGTTGAAGCCACAGACTTGGCTAACGTTATATTATCTAATATCTACTTTCGATCATATCTCTAAGAGCGAGTGTTAATTCTCTTTTGCAGGCAAAGGATTTTATGTGATATATACTACTCGCAATAGTTATAACGGTATAGCAATTAAATAAGAATTACAACACGTTTAATCTAATCGCAATTCTTAATGGCCTATTAATTTTGTTATCAATACACCAGAAGGAAAAAAAACATTCGGCGTTTGATAATCTTCACGGTAATTAGGGTTTACGATACACTATTTGCAGGAAATCTTTATTCAAGCAAGTTGATACGGTTGCTTTTGAGCAGAAATATTAAATAAATATTGATTAAAAGATGTTTTCTAAGAATATATACTTGAATTATCAATTGTACATTTGAATCCATCTCAACTCTTCAACAAAGCTTACCATGAATCAAAGTTCTCACACTACGGCCCAATTCTATTCATTGGTACAGCAATCTCTTGACGTAATCGCAAATTCGAAATTGCAATACGGTAGTACACCACAAAAGCAATTATACGAAAGGATCAATCTCCAAGTCGGGATCGCGAATTGTCGGTCAACACAACAGCGAATACCGATAGTTTGACAATCACCAAGTTCCAAATACTAGGGTTCGATCCATTAGTTTGCATTTCTTCAAACTGAAAGAGGGATGTGGGACGTCACATAATAAAAACATAACAGAGACACAAAGCAGATCTTATTATTAGTGGCTAAATTTAGAACGTCCCAATAAATGCAGGACCACTGAATATGATAATGCTCACAATGCTTTCCACGCATAATGGTGGTACAACTTGTGAATTTTAATCTTTGTTTGTACGTTCAATTGTGGTATTTGGCTGTTTTCTCAAAGGGCAAAACACCACATGTGATTTCATATTTCCCAATTGTTCACGTGGTAATAATATTATTTGATGATCAACTATCCCCAAATTCCCATCCTTTGAAATAGCGGAGCTTTTGGCTTGTCATTTATTATCGTCGTTCACTTTAGTCCCACGCTTGCTTTGCTACGAACGCACGTTTGGGTTCTACTTCAGATATTCCTTTGGCCAAAACAATATGGGCCCAATGGACATTATCTATGGCTGCATTTCTATAGTAAAATCGATTTTGGGAGCCTTATTTTACATTCTCGTATCTCCACTTACGATAACTCAGAATGCTAGCACGCGAGCGGCACCGCAGAATCCGAGAGCGACCGCTGAGAAATTCAAGAGGGAATTTGAAGAGAAACATGGACAGAGACATCCCGACTTTTTTGCTGGAGGTTATTTACAGGTTGGTAGATGAAAGCTAGAAATGGGATGTGAGAATTTGACAGAATTCAATGGTAATTAAATACAAGAGCTTGTAGTTTGATAGATGTTCCATGTTTTGTCTTTTTTTTCCCCTGTGATCCAAGTGAGATTACGCGCATCTAATGGATGTACTTTCCGTATCTGATTCGTTTTCTAGGCCTTGGATCAAGCAAAAAGAAATTTTCAGTTTTTAGTTGTCATATTACAATCTGATGAACATTACGATACAGAAAAATTTAACAGGTATATTAGTTTACCGATAATTTGTTAAGCTTTAATTGATCATAATTTACAATTGACTCTTACTGCATTTGCTTTTACCATTTTGTGGTTTAATATTTCTTCAAGTGAAACTCTTACTTCTCCACTATTGATAGATTTTTTCAGAGAGAATAATTTCATCGTATGGGGAGGGAATGTCCGCGAATCGGAGGCATATCAAGGTAAAATGTTTGGTATATTTGTCAAATGTTAAAACTTGACCGTGGTCTTTACACCGCATCTATATCTGTACCATATGCATTTATCTGATTGTATTTTTTAGTGAGTCATAAACTTCGAGCAACTACATATCCATTTGTTGCAACCATAGTTTATCAGCAGATTCCTGGAACTGGAAGAATGGATATGGTCCTCTCTGATAAGCTTGAGGGTACGGCAAAGAATATTTCATGAATTATCTACTACTGTCATTTATTTGTCAAGTTTATGATTTATCAAATCAAGACTTTGGAACATTCTCACCCATCCCTCTATTTGACTTTTGTTACAAAACGACTTCCTCGCTTCTTCATAGGTCTCTCGACAGCCGAAAATCTTCTGGTCAACCTCACCAATTCCCTCCAACGCCACACACCTCTTCTCGCCCGCCTCCGTGCTGAACGCGAATCACACGAAGCTACGCGAGCTCTTCGAGAAGCACAAGACAATGCATACTATGCATCCCTTCGTGCGGATCAAGAAAAAGATCGTCGCGCCCGTAAGGCGGAAGAGGCAAAAAGAATAGCAGAAGAGAAAAAACTAAAAGAAACGGAACGGAAAGAAAGAGAGTATAAGGAGAAGAAAGAGAAGAGAGAACAATGGAGACGATGGGCGGTCGAAAGTCTTCCGGAAGAACCAGGAGACGGAGAGAAAGCGGTTGCAAGATTGAGTTTTAAATTCCCGGACGGAAAGAGAGTTGTTAGACGGTTTCGGAATTCGGAAAGTCTTGAGGTTAGTGTTAGGATGCAAAACGAGAAGAGGAGGGAGGCGATATATAACGAACTTTTGATATTTTTTTTATCACCCAGTTATAACAATTTGCTTTTTCACACTCTTTTTTCCATCAGACAATATACACATTTGTCGACACGTACGGCCTTCAACGCTTTTCCTCACCATCTAAACCTCCAGACAATTACACACATAAATACAAATTTGTACTCGTATCACCATTCCCTCGGACTGTTTACCCTATGGATAAGACAAAGATCATAGGAGATGATAAAGTATTGTGTCCCAGTTGTAATTTGATTATTGAGGAAGTTGAGAGCGACGACGAAGGTGATGAATTGTGGTAGAAAAGGAAAACGGATACTGTAGATGCATGAGCAAAAAGTTTTGGCTGGATAGATTACGTGTGGTGAAGCCGATAGAAGCGTCGACTGTGGTTTATTATTTTTTTTTATCATATTATATTTTCTTTTCTTTTTCTTGTTATAAATAGTTGATTTCTTATTTGTCAAAATCACATGTCCGAACCCTTTTATCGAACGTTTGGTTATTATGGCATCACGTAAGCGATATGATGTCAGCCAAGAACAATTCATACAATAGATTAACCACTTGTTTTCCAGGCCTTCGCGCTCTGGATGAATTTTTTTTTCTTATGGTCTTTTGAAGCACACGATGTATGCGGCGCGAGTGTCTTTGGGTGACGTCAGTATTCAACTTTTGTTGCCAGGTTAAAAATTAAAAAAATTGTTATATATATATTTCCCGTTATCTTTATTTCTGTTAAAAATACTCATCTCAGTAAACTTGTTATTCCGAAAATTACTGGCAGCTTATCCTTAAGTAATCGTATATTTCAATTGAACTTCTGCCGCTCAACGTCAATGAAGCTTAGGGGTTGTGGTCGCTGGTCCTAAACCATTCCATTCGCGGCCACCGAACATTTTACAAAATTCGATAGGGAAATTACTAATGATCATGTGCTTTCGTGTATTATTGGATTCTTGGTTGTTGAATTAGTGATGAAGACCAGTTTTCGCGTTTTTGCAGATTCAATATTCTTTATTGATGGGATGACATATCTGAACCAATCGCTAACACCACGCGTGTCATTGTCAAACGACACTGCAATGAAAAACTTGACATTTGCAAAACGAAAGCACATCAATTCAAAACATTGTTTCTCAAATCACTGCCCATTTTGCATGTGCACCAATAAATTACATCGTGATAAAATTGATTATTATTATTATGGATTTAAGAAAATTACAAAAAAATAAAGCTCGGCCACGTTAAGCTTTGCGCAGGCCCAGTTTCCAATTCTTATCCGTTATTGGTGTCGTGGATGCTGAGAGCCCTATTGAGGATGCGGGTAGCGGTAGCGGAGCGTTGTATGCTATTTGTTAAAAAACTGATTTTTTCACAGATGTGCAACTGGATATTTTTATCTTCGTTATTGCCTGCATTGCGTATCGGAGGTTTCGCTTTAATAGTATAGAGTGTGCTTATGGTATTGATATTAGCTGCCGCATGCTACCATACTGTATTGTTACTGCGAAGAGGAGAGCATGTCTAGATCTCATGTTAAATCCGGAATTCTTTGGAAATTTTCCTATTAAAGCCATAAGCCAATAAATACAGTACTTCCGGTATTTGACGAATGGCGAATTTACTTCAGAACATGTCACGTCTTTCCTCTTCGCGAAATAATAAAACGCAAGGCTGCAAAAATTATAAAATGATGAATTCACATGATGGGATAAATTCGTTATATAAAAGACCTTTCCAAGGCTTCGTTTGCAATAAATTTGCTTTTTTTATTTTACAGTAAAAATGTGCAGTCGAAGATGTGATGACCTTCAACTAGCTACATAAGTGTTCGTTTTTCTTTAAAGAAATGCAACAAAGACTGTGATTATCAGTCTTCAAAATGCATTCTGATAGGCAAATAAATAACGTATCTGGTATACAAACATCAAACAATTTGCAAGTCAGCATTGTGTTCCGTATAATATGTATCTATTAATCATTTGTTGCCGATCAAGTAAATAGACCAGGAACGTCTACTTCTCTTAGCCAGACACTAACAACTATACCACAAGACTGACAAAGCGAATTAAGGTATTGCGATATAACCCAACATAAATGTACAAGCATAAAAAATCAATTGTCCAACGGAAGAATCTATCAGGATTGTCATAAACCGTAGGCACTATACAATTCTAATAGCTATCGATATAAAGTAAATGAAGCAAGCTTTTCAAAACGATATAGTCACTGTACAATGAAACGACAACTATCAAAACATGATGAATCAATCCTCATAACTGCGCAGAGTATTCCTTCGCTTGCTGTCTCACTCTTCTTTCATAGGCGGCCTTGTCTTTCCTATTATAATACAAGTAAGAGAATAAATCTTTGATTACTGTTTCCACATACTGGAACATCAAATACTCACTTGTACAACATATATGCATCAGACTGAGCCGGACTGTCTGGATTAGGGTCATTGAGAAGATCTTGGATGCCGAGAAGAATCTGATCCCAGTAACAGAAGCCAGGTGTGTATAAAAACGAAAACAACGATAGCAATGGCGAAGAAGGAATGTTGTGAGCATAAACGTATACAAGTATGTGAATCGGTACAATTAAAGGAGAACAATAATTCGTATCGACACAGATTACAGAAACAGGTCTGTTAATCGATAATATATTGAACGGTTTTCATGACATCCATAATCTCCGTCGACGAATTAACATCAGACCTGCTTGATAGTGATTGCCGGCTTCCAAGCTTCTTCTTCGTTCAAAATTGATAAACAAACGGTGCCCGAAGGGTAAACGTTCGGATGAAATAATGGCGGTGTGAATCTGCATTTTGGAGGTTTGCTGGGATACTCTAAACAAGAAAAAGAACACGGAATGAATTAGAAAAATCCGAATAATTCATACAATATGAGCATTAGCACAAGGAGTTGAAAGAACAAAAACAAAAAATGAATTAAGGCATCTTAAATTCTACTAATTCGTTGTTGTCATCAATCTAGTCTCTCATGTTACTGATATAGAATATTGTAGTAGTATCCAACACGTACCTTCCGGAAATGATACAGTCAACTTAAATACTCCTGATTCCCAAGGTGTCTAGTTAATGTAAAACGTATTCAGTAAGATGATGTCGAGATATTTAATGATTGAAAGGTCAAATAAGTATCAAGTTCACAATAAACATCGTAATTTCCAATTGTTCATAATATAATACTGCGCAGGACTTTGAAAGTAAGATCTCATATGAATTAGGTAATAGAATAGCAGTACTCTAATGGTACAAGAATAACCATAGCAACAATACTAAGCTATGCTTTGATAACAGAAACAATAACAGCAGCAATAGAACTAATGCTTGATAGTAATGTTTGCAAATACCCCCGGCTTTCCAGGAATGCCACAAGTCCAAGTCATAAGATCAAGGCCATTCTCACCCTTTACTGGACGTGCGTAGAAGCCCTGAAAGTTTGATTGCAGAAAAAATACAAGAATACGTAAATATTGCCTCGTATAATATAAGCAAACAAGAAAAGAGTCTGCGTTATGCTCACGTAGGGATGATCCCGTCGCCACTGCTTTCGCTCTTCGAGAAGTCTTGCTCTGCAGATGCCAGACATTTCTAATTGTGAATTATGTGTCGCGTATTGCTTTGTATGATCAAACGACGTGTGAGGAAGCAAAAAGAGAGATAGGTACGTATAGTATATTTTGAAGATATTATTATAATAATAGAGTCAACTAAGTGTTGACGTGTATTGGATTGATACATGTGACCAAAGTTTCTTTGATTGGACATAATATAATCTGAACTTTTATCACGTGGTGAGCATTCACAAGCAATAGAATATATTATCACCAGTAATCACCCTTACAAATACTCCGGCTTTCTTAAACTGCTCGACTGATCGTTTCACATCAGGACGCAACGGATCTTGTATACCAACTATCTCCATCAATTTCTTGAGCTCACTAGAAGTTACGTCTTTATGTGCTATACCAATAGTGCGTAAAGCTTTGTCCGTGAACATGGTGATTGTGATCTCGAACTGATGTCTGGAATTTCCGTCTAGCTCTTTAATTTGACCCTTGGCGTCAATATAACGGTGACGCGATTTAAGCACAATCTCAGATGCATCTTCACATGAACGCGATACTCGGCATTAGGATCCAGGTGCGTTGGGAGCAAGTGCTGTCATTGTTTTCTTCTTGGAGACAAATGGATAGACCTTTTCTACTTGAACTGCAGGTCTACGTTCTCTATAATCTACTCCAAAGAGTTTTATGAATCCAAGAAGGGGCGCATTCCGTCTTTGATCTGACACGTTAGATAAGATGTATTAGGACCGGTGATAGATTCTTCTTCGCAGCAAAACGATGTGGTCACGTGTATGTCGGAGTGACGATAAGTCACGAGTTGTCGTTAGATCAATAGACGCGTAATTTAATCGATCTCTAAATCAAAACACTTCTCCAACTCTAACACTACATCTTTCAGTCCTTTATTGCGCCAAACTTGGGTATAGCATAAAACATTTATCCTACTAGATCTACTCCTTTTATCAAAGGCTTTTCTAACCAACCTGTTTATATATTTAATCAGTATCTAATTATGGATGACAACAGGATAGGAAATAGTATGATTTTTTATTGTAGAATTTAAAGAACCGTTGCCAACCTTCTGAGAAATGAGGGTCCGCCGCCGTCCGGTACATGGTGCAGTGCCAATTGTCAACCTTCTGAGGAATGAAGGTCCGCCGTGCGACGTCTGTGCAGTCAAATATTCCATGTCATCGAACTGACTGTAATCACCCATATGAATATACAATCTAAAAGGATTTAAACGTATCCGTTTATGTGCTCCATATTGGAAGCCCATGGTAGTATCTAAAATTACCAACAAAGAGAGCAGGTGTGTTATTTATTACTTGAGCACCACCTAATATTGATTTTGTATGGAATGCAGTATTAGTTAATATCTTGTATCGTTTAATATCTTGTATCATTTGATATTGCGTACAACTAAATCTCTTTGCAATAGATTTTATACACACCCCAGGAATTCAACAAAAATACCAAGTACAAATAGATATTGCTGATGGGATGAACGTGGAAAATATCGAGGCATTTTACGACTGATGGCTATTTTCCATGTAAGGACTCCCTATTGAGTTAGTATTAGACAGTTTATACACAATTAATCCCTAAATCATCATTTGTCTTCAGGATGAACTGCTCAAACAAGCATCAGTTATGGAAGAGTTAGAGCAAACATTACTACGTGGCAAAGGTTTAAAAGTCCGCGATGTGCTTCGATTGCCATTTTGAATACACTCATGTCTACATTTCAATTATTCCAGGTATACTTAATGTATCATATCTATCGCTATTACTATGTGTAATCACATTATTCATTCAAATTTTAATTGCTTTTGGTTTCCTTCCTTCCTATCTTTTGAATGATGTTTGGATGTATTTGCATGCCTGGCAATCATCACATGAAGAATCACGATCGAACTATCGACGCATTCCAGATGGTCCTGCGCGAAAAGGCCGTTATATCGTGAAAACTCGATATAGCGGATCTCTCGATATAACGGAGAAAAAGGGCCGGAACCGTGTATCACTATTGCTGCGGAATTTGGAAACGGCACGGAGATTGTAAATAATCTCTCCACAATGTATTGATCTACCGAGAATGTAAGTTATGTCAATATGCACTTTTTCGGTTATCAAAATCAATTGTTACATTGGTTTGAATCTTCAAAAAGTAATTTAACACTTTTTTTACTATTACTAGTCGTCTCATAATATATTAATATGGTAAGATTAGTATACATATTAATAACATTACATTAAATAGTCAATATTTACTTGATATCAATAGGAAATTGCATACACTTACTTTTTGTGTAAAGAGAAGGAAATAAAATGGATTGACTTATCTCGAACGGACGTTGTAAAATGATAATAACTCAACCGAGAAAAAGGCAATTTAGTATTGGGAAATTTTCTAAGATCAAGCAGATTAACGTTAATATACTGTTTTCAGGTCCATTTGTTTAATGTTTAGAACATACAAAAGACTTATATTTATAGTTGCAATCTTAATAATTACAAATAATTATAATTACTTGTTTTTATCATTGTTTCAAATGAACTTTACGATTACCGGCAAAAGGTACTTGACAATCAACTTTTTCTTCGAAAACCTATACTACTGCATATTGATCGTCAAGCTGTTGTTTAGTGAGCGTTAGTATTAATATTAGATTCACAGCATTTTTGCATTCTTTGCTTTTGATCATATAGTCTTTATTTTGAATGTTTAATATCGCTCATATGAATTGGGACATGAAAAATAATCAAGATAAGTATTAGTCTAATTAATATTAATATATATCGCTTATTGCAACACATTTACAAGATGCGATTATCCTGAAATCGAGTCTCAAAGCAAGAATGCATACTTTCTTTGGATGAATAAGCATTGTTATTACTACCATACGATGTTTCCAGATGGCTGTATTAGGTACGTGCAATATGGTATCAAATACCGAAAACCGAGTATTTAATTAATCAATTAAATTGCCACAATTTTTACTAATACTAAATGAATTCTGTGGTCAGACCAATAAGGGCAATCCCGGCATTATTACCGTGTTGATGACACAATCAACCTATTTACATTTACTTAAAAACCAACCATTTATCCTGTCCTCTTGTCAATAGCGGACCGTTTGATGGTTACGCAAGCAATGCGAATATGTGTCTACAGAAAGAAGCGTAATTCGCATTGTCAACAAGCGTTTCGTGCGTTTTTTAGACGTGCTCAAGATTTCATACCCATTTACTGCAACGTCAAATAAACGTTGGATTTGCCAAGACGAGGAGTTTACAAGAGCTATTCGGTTCTGGTACAATGTCAGTGATTCAATATGATGCGTGTTGATTATGTTAAAGCGTTAACGTGTTGTTCATTCATACAGCGCAGGAGTTTATAGAAAGTATTGACACTTTTTTTTCGTTTGTTGTCTAATTATTAAGACTTGTGCATGCAGATCTGGGGGGAGAAAACCGTAATTGTGGAAGATTATAAGCTTTATTAGTAATACACATATTTATCAAGATCGTGACGGCAAGGCAATTCACACCTTCGGTAAGTTTTCATTACTTATTGAGCATTAATTATGAAACAGATGGAATGGGTGTTTCGTGTTGGAATTAACATCAGCGTATAATTTGTAAAGCTGGTTTTATTAGTAAAGGTCTTTAGGCTGCAAATTGCAAATTCTCATAGATGCAATTGGTTTTTACGATTGAGTAAAAGCGAAATTAATGAATTACCCTTTTTTTTTTCACCAACAATGTTAGACATCAGTGAGGGCGAAGTTTTAACGATCTGATCACTTTCACTCTTCCGAATACCCAATTTTTATCGCCATTACCCTATTTTCCACTATTTGTCTATTTCGCATCTTTTGGCCTTTTCATCTTTCTATCATTACTAAGATAGCCTCAACATATCCTCATTCTCTCCCATTCGTTGCAACATTCTAATGGACAGCCGAGTAACACAATCTAATTCACGCCCACCGACAAAACCGAAACCCGCTAACTTATCGGCAGTTCCTAACAAAAAGTCTTCTTTTGACGCCGAGACAGACTCTTCACGCTCTTCATCAAACCATTTAACAGTCAAGAAAGTCTCAACAACGAAAGGACCAAACGTAAATAGACTATCTAGTGTATTCGAAAATGCAAGTTCTTCAAATGCAACATCAGATGTTGTCGCGAGAGGAACGGGAAGAGGAAGAGGAAGGGGTAAAGTTGGAAGTGGTAAAGGCAATATTGGTGTTGCCAGAGCGAACGGGGCGAACGGAGCGAATGGAGCGAACAGAGAGACTGCACAGAAGAAACAGATTGGCATTGAGCTGGAGAAAGGAAATGGCGTAAAAAATGGCAATATAAAAAAGGAAGCCAGTAAACCTAAAGGGTCAGAAAATGTCGACATAGATGATTCGGCGTTAAACTTTAGTGACATTAAAGCAAGATTTCAGAAAGAAAAGAATCTTGATGAAAGGAAGGTAAGTCGATCACAAAGCTAAGATTAGGGGTGATTCAAGATGGTTTTACTTCACGTGAATAGGTATCTAGAAGGGGAAGGGAAATAATTGTGATTTCATCTATTTCGATGCTTACTCGCTCTATCAACTGACACAGAATGCTTTACCAAATAAGAAGCCATATGTTCCGTCACGAGCAGATACGAGTCGGTTGGCTACGCCACCATCAACGTCTTCTTCAGCTTCGAAGACTGGTAAAGTAGAGCTTGCTTGTGCGTAATTTTGCTGCTCTTTCGATTATTTTTTCTCCTCTTATTTACTATTTTTTTCATTCTTGTTGTTAGGGCATAAAAAACCCGTAGTTCAAAAATCTCCACCACCAAATCAGTTTTCTTATGAAAGCGATGCAGACGATTCTACTTCAGACGATATGGTGATAGTTGAAGCTAGCAGTAAAAATCATAAACAAGCAAACGGTGTTCCAATTGTAAAGTTATCGTCAAAAGAGACTGCCAAAAACCATTCGTCGCCTAGCAAGATAAGAGGAAGAGGCTCCTCGACAGATTATAGTAGTACTTCAGAAAAGGACGATGCAATTTTATCTATAGACGACTTTGCAGCAACGAGGCAAAGTATAGCAGAACAACTTCATGGCACATTTACATCAAGTACCACATATACCTCTTACATCAACCCTCCGTCTCGTTCTTCTTCAAAATCCTCTTCTATTTCGTATTCTCGTAGATCTGTGACCCCACCTTCCCATCCTACCTATGCCTCATCATCTTCAACGATAGCACAGCTAGACACGCCTACCAGCGAATATTGTTCATCATTAGACGATACTTTCGTTACACAGGAAGACTTGGGTCTTGAGAAAGAGATAGATTTAGAGTTTGAGAAAGAGACGAAACGGAGAAAGCAGTTGTGGAATGTTATAAGAGAATTAGTAGAAACTGAGGGACTCTTTTTAAATGATATGTACTTGCTCAAAGAGGTAAATGAATATAGGAATTTGAAACGTGTCTGCAGCAATTGCCTTCTAGTCTTCCGTTCTCTGGATTCTTACTGGCGCGCACTTTTTCATGTTTACGTTCTTCTCATTATCCTCATATCCGTTTTGATAGGTCTACTACATTCAAGCCCGTGACATTCCAATATTTAATCCATACGATCTTAAAGTAGTTTTTGGTAACCTTACCGACATTATAGACTTTTCCGATACGTTTTATGAATTACTTCAAGCAGCTACAGGAAATGATGATTTGGAGGACACAGAAAGTCATTTATTAGAGGAAAATGATGGTACTTGGATTGGAGAAGCTTTTGTAAAAATGGTAATGGTTTTAAAGGATTATCGCTGAAAGTCTTTGTGTAATGAAAGCCTTCCGTTTGATTTGCAGAGTGATTTAGAAAAAAACAATCGTATGCATGCGCATGATTATTTTGATACTTTGACATTGATACCAGCTGTTTAAATCTTCCCCTTCCCTCTTTTTTTCTTTACAGTTAGATAGCAAAGAAGACTTGTCAGGAAACTACAACAGAATGGAAGCCACTTATGGCGAATATTGTAAACGACACGAAAGTGCTGTTGCCAAATTACAGGAACTTGAGAATAACGAAATCGTGCAAGGGTTTTTACAGGTTTGCAGTTAAAAAAAGACGACAATTTAACTGCGCTATTATTCCGCGTAGCGCTACTTTGTAACGATTTGTTGCTGTATTATTAGAAATGCCAAGAACAATGCGAAGGACGAACACGAAGTTGGGATATTGCAAGTTTATTAATTAAACCCGTCCAGCGCGTATTGAAATATCCATTATTATTACAGGTAATCAGCGTATAGCTTACGTAACTGATTTATTTGTTGATTCTGATATACATTAATTTGCACTTGTAGTTCTAACTAAACTTATTTACCTTTTTCTTAATCCGTTATCCCTCTTTCCCAATGTATAATATAATCTAATCCAGCAAATCCTCCAACTTACAAAACCCTCACATCCAGACTATGGGCAATTAAAACACGCCTTTGACGAAATGCAAAAGGTGGCTGAACGTATCAATGACATTAAAAGAAGAAAAGACATTGTAGAGAAAATAGTTGGATCCAAGAAGAGGAATGATGGAGATATAGTTCGTGGATTTACAAAAACATTGACTAGAAGAAAGCAAATACTTAGACACATGACCGGATTAGCAAAGCCTACAGAGGATGAACTGTATATCGCGTACGTGGACAAGTTTAAGCATTGGGAGCAGCAAGGAGTTTTATTGCAGAAGAACGTTAAGGATTGGGTTAAGAGCGTTAAGCGTAAGTACTTTATTATGTGAAGGATAAAGTGAATTTTCGAAGTGTGTTGGCGTCAAAATATTAATGTAAGATACAACAGACATTTACTCATTTTTGTGGTTTATTGGCTGATATTCGCATTTTGTCTTTAATAGAATACTTTGAAGATCAAAATCGTATAGCATCCACAATAGAAGACTTTTATGTAATGGGACTTCCAGGAAATAAACGCCCTGAGCAATTGAAGCGTATGGCAGAATACAGAAGAATCATTAAAGAGCTTCCTTCATCCTGTGGAAAAGAAATGGTAAGGGTTGCCATAGTATCGAGAAAGATGAACTACGTTCATCAGCATCTGTTTGTAACTATTTTATCAACAATTCAATTGGTATTAAGCTAGCTATTGTATTTGCAGGAAGAGGCGATAAAAAAGTATATATATCCGAAATTAGAAACGTTCATGGATCGATTCAAAGCTCCAACAGCTGTCATGAAAAAGAGAGAAAAGAAGGTGCTTGATTTTGAACGAGCAGAATCAATAAAAGAAAAGGGTGATACGGTGAGTTATTGGTTGGGTGTTAATACTAATTTAGAATAGCAGAATCCTTTCATATAAATCTATATTTATCGACTGATATTAATACTTTACTTTATTCACGAAAAACCGTTTGTTCTTACATTCCAATTACTCACGTAGCCTGATAAGGCCTTACAAGAATCCGCAGACGCTTTCACTTCGATCTCACTACAACTGCATGAAGAACTTCCAAAATTTTTTGAATTTATGCGTCAATTTTTTAACATTATAGTTGAAGACTTTGCCAGAATTCAAGCGCAGTTTTATCGACAAATGGGGATGGAATTTAGGCAGTATTTTTACAAGTATATTGAACAAGAAGCATTAGAGTATGTGTCTAATGATCGGGAACTGGTGATAAGAGAATTTGACGTGGTAACAGAATATGGAGATAAAATGTTGGAAATAGAGAGCAGATTGAGTATGTTTGTGTTGTGTAATCAGAGCAATGGTGAGTTTGTGATTTTATTTTCGCGAACGCAATGAACGTGTGAGGGTATCTTCTTTTATCTTATGAATTCGTCTCAATATTTCTTCAATCGATGCAAATTTATTTTTAGGATCTCCAATCGAAGACACAGATGATCGAGGACGCAAGATGAGACGTAAACCGTCTCACTCAGATACCTTAACTTCTCAAGCCTCCGTAAATTCACGGAAAAGATCAGGTAAGAATGAGTAGAGTGAGTTAATATTCAATTACAGTACTTTTTATCTTACAATTATTGTTACCCCTCGCTTTGCCACCTTACATCCACTTGTACAACAGTGTCCACAGACCCAAAGAGACGTGGAGGGATGGTTGGACCTGATCGTACATCCTGGCGATCTTCGTCATCGACCAAATTTGGCCTTGACAAAATAAACGATGAAGTGATCAACCCGTTTGATGATGATATGCAGTATGGACATCGAAAATACGCGACCGATGGGGCTGTACCGTTGAACAGAACTCTATCTTATCCGACATCAGCATCCACGACATCATACACTGACCTTCCTCCCTATACGGAAACAATCGTATCTAACATTACTTCTTCGGATGACGACGATGACATTTTCCACGACACATTGACTGGAGAAGAGGGTCCAACGTCTACCGAACTTCGTGTACCATTTCTCGTTGCTACGTTATATCGTTATAAGACAAAAGAAAAGAACATGCTGTCATTTGAGGCTCATACGCTGTTGAAGGTCATACATATTGACGAGAAAGGGGAATGGTGGTTTGCCGTTAATGAAGATACTGGGGAAAGGGGTTGGGTCGATGTTGCACTAACAGAGAAGCTCAGTTAGGAAAGGAAGCTGGTGGAATGAGTGAAAAAGAATGTGGTTTATTTTAGCTGGCATTAATTTTCGTGGTTTTATTAGGCATGCCAAGCAATATTGGTTATCGTCAGGTTAAGTTTGCTTGATAAACAGGTCGTTTATTGTATCTATAATTCTTTGATTATACTTTATTTATTTTCCTTTTCAACTTTCGAACTGGACTTTTGGTACTTTTAAACTAACTCATATGCTTATAAAACGGATGGGTAACTAATTATATTGTAACTTGTGGGATAAGGACTAGGACTGAATATCCTCCTCCCCTGAGTATTCTGATAAAGTATAGTTGTTGAGATTCTTATCCTTTTGAATTTGGATTTCAACAACTTGGATTAAAATAATATAATACATCGTATACTTGCGTGTTTTAAGTGTGAAAAGAAGTGGTTTATTCAATTCTATACAATTATACACAAAGCCCACTCGGCACATTGTATCTGCGAATTTCCGCCGGCACACGTTCAGAACCTTTTGATCCCAACTCTTGTGTGCATTTTTCGAGGCTTTCCAATCCCATCGCATTGTCAACCATTGACATCGAGAGAGAGAGAGAGAGAGAGCTTTCTTATCATCCTCTTTGATCAATTCCACAGCAACGTAGACGCCCCGACAGCAACACGACAATAAGAGTGGCATATTCCTGCCGAAATACCCTCTCCTTTTTAATAAAAATGACACATATGTGGAAATGAAACGCTTAGTTCACGGACCGCATACGCCTATATAATTAATAGATATACATCGTCGTCAGCGACACTAGACTAATAGTCGATAAAAATCCCATTTAGTTTGACTTACTTTACGCATTTCCACGGAAATGATTCACCGTAATGCATAATTCTCTCCACAACCTCGAGATAGCAACTTATGCGATATTTAATCACTGAGGATAAACTCGCTGTCATAACTGTTTCCAGTAAGAATCCAGATGCTGTAATAATAAATATTATCAGTGGCTGAAATAATAATTCTCTTATCTGCACGTGTGTCGCCATCACTGGACATAGTAACAACAACGATGTCATTCATAGTACTATCTACACTGTCAGATAGACAAGACTCTGATCCTGATATCCATTACCTTCAGTGCTGTCTGTCTTTTAGCAAAATCCTATTATAAACTGTATGTCTTATACAATTTTATATAATGTATTTGATTGGGATATAATAATCAATACAAATACAAACTCTTCGTCTTTATAAAGTTTGGATTTGGAATTGTAATGCTAAAAAGTAAGTCGCCAAAATGGGCTGTACTCGGAAAAAAGTGACTCTAGGTGCTATTGGCCTAGGTTTATCGTTATAGATTAACAGTGCGAGAGTCATCCCCGTCGTTGATTGGTTATTGCCCGTGGAGCACTGATATTTTTGTAATTGGCGATGTTTATGTA